AAATTTAAAACATAATTTTCATTCATTATTGCAGATTGGAATGGACACTTGAAATCACGAATATTTCAAACTGAGATCTCATATTTTAACTTTCAATATCTATTAAAAACTGAAATTCCAAATACAATAGCAAGATTGATTTATAACAATTAAAAATCAGAGAATACCTGATGTTTCTATCGAGCACTTGTGCCAGGTGTAATGATGATAAAAGATAGATGAGAAGAGGAGGAAATGAGGAATGTGGATAGACGCTGTAGAGGTTTAGAAATGTTGAACGACAAATTTTTTACATGCTCTATCATATCTATTGCTTCACAGAAGAAAATATATTGAACAAAATCTGTTGCTTCACAAAAGAAAATATTGAACCGTTAGATAAGTTTGATAAAAGAAAAAAGCATACCCAAACATGAGACAACCTTTCACCAAACCAAGATCTCTTCACAGAATTACCCAAAATTTGAACACTTGAAACAAGAGAGAACACATATTCAGCTTCTAAGCTTGAAAGAGCATTCAGAAATAATTCCGTTTTTTCTTAGACTTACAAATTCCTTTGGAGCTTCACAGAATCAAATATGAAACAAACTAGAAAAATCAGTGATAAGGATGGAGAACGAGGGTTTTCACACAACAACAATCGAAACAAATTAAGAACTAAAATCAGAGAGAATGAATTACAACGAGTGTTTTCACAGAATCAAAATCGAAGCATCACAATTAAAGTAAAACCAGAGAGAGCATCGAAATCTTAAAATCGAAGCATTGTAATGCTCGTAAGATCAAAATCGTAAAATCCAGAAAGAGGGTTTCACAAAATCCTTTGAAGAAAATCTCCAAACAGAATCAAATCGGAGGAGAGGGTGTGGGAAATTAACCTTGCCGCCGTCGATGAGGGCAGCTAAATCGTCGGGAGAGACATAGGAAGTCGCCGATGGACGGAGATTGGATTAGTAAATTAAATCTGCACCATTATTTTAATTTAAAAAGAGTTCAGATCCAAGGGCTTGAGAAAAAATATGTCATATCATGACATTTGAACGGCTCCTTAATGGCGTATTTCTATTCATATTACCTACAGAGTATTTGTCATCCGGGCTGTTCTTCTAATCTAACATTGAAATTTTATCATAGTATTGGGAGTCCTTGTAGTGCCTTGTTTATAAAATTGATGGCTTTTATCCTATCTAATCTCCCCGATAAACTCTCATCTTGCCCCGATATAAATGTATTCGCACCGCCTTCAATTGCACCTCCAAATTTATTTGACTTGAGAGTCAAAATTTTGACTTCAAAGTCAAATAAGCTTTAGAGATGCAATTGAAGGTAGTAGGGGTATGTTGGGACGGAGTGGGTTGGGGGGTTTACCGGGAGGGTTAGAAGTTAGGAATCGTCAATTTTACGAGCTGGACACCGTAACAACCGTGGGTTATTCTATGAAAAGAGGTTCTGATGTCATTGGAACCCCTCCGGTTAATATAACCAACCATCACCTTTATTGGGCAAAAACACTACTTACACTTGATTTTTTGATATACTATTTAAATTTATATATTTTATTTTATTTTTTACACTCCCTCTATCCAAAAATTTTCTTTCCATTTGACTTTTCACGGTCTTCAATAATGTTACACTTTGATCATTTATATTTAGATATATTTTATAAAAATTTAATATTTGAAAACTATATTTCAATAGGAATGCATTGATTTTAAATTATACTCTCTCCGTCCCTAAATATTTGCCACATTTGTATTCCCGAGGCAAAATATCAAGTTTTTTCAATTCATTTTATTTACATATTGATATAGAAATAAAAAATAAAATTTACATATCAAAAAACTACATGAAAAGTTCTTCGAAATAAGAGGTTTCAAGAATATTTTATTTTATCAAATAACCAATGAAAACGTAGAAATAAACAAAAGTTCCCGTGACTGCTGAAAAAGTAAATAATTTGGGACGGAAGGAGTACCATAACAATGTGTTTATTCCATATTTTGGAGTCAAAGTTTATAAGTTTTGACCAAAAAAATCAAATAAAAAAACAATTCTAGAGGAATGGAGTAGCAATTTATGAATATTTCCAAGTGACTTATCTATCATTTAAGTCATTTTATTTTCATGAAAGAATATTTGACTTATAAGGATCTATAAGTTAAACACTATTTATCAACAGTAAGTCAATGAGCACAAAAAAACACCTATTTTAATATTTTAATAACAATGCATGGGATACATTGTTATGATATAATTTAATATCAATGTATTCCTATTGAAATATAGTTTTCAAATATTACATTTTAATAAAATATAGTATCTATATATAAATATAAATGATCAAAGTGTAACATTATTGAAGACTGTGAAAAATCAAATGGAAAGAAAATTTCTGAATGAAGGGAGTGTAAAAAATAAAATAAAATTTATAAATTTAAATAGTATATAAAAAAATCAAGTGTAAGTAGTGTTGTTGCCCAATAAAGGTGATAGTTGGTTATATTAACCGGAGGGGTTCCCATGACATCAGAACCCCTTGTCATGGAATAACCCACAGTTGTTCCTAACTTCTAATCCTCCCAATAAACCCCCCAACCCACTCCGTCCCAACATACCCCTACTACCTTCAATTGCATCTCCAAAGCTTATTTGACTTTGAAGTCAAAATTTTGACTCTCAAGTCAAATAAATTCGGAAGTGCAATTAAACGCGGTGTGAATACATTTATATCCGGGGCAGGATGAGAGTTTATCGGAGAGATTAGAGGGGATAAAAACCATCAATTTTATAAACGAAACCCCACTATCATAAAATTTCAATGTTACGGAGTAGATTAGAAGAACAGCCCGGATGACAAATACTCCGTATGTAATATGAATAGAAATAAGCCATTAAGGAGCCGTTCAAATGTCATGATATGACATACTCCGTATTTTTTCTCAAGCCCTTGGATCTGAACTCTTTTTAAATTAAAATAATGGCGCAGATTTAATTTACTAATCCAATCTCCGTCCATTGGCGACTTCCTATGTCTCTCTCGACGATTTAGCTACCCTCATCGACAGCAGCGAGGTTAGTTTCCCACACTCTCTCCTCGTTCTGGATTTTACGATTTCGCTCATCTCTCTGGTTCTAGTTCAAGTTTTGTGATGCTTCGATTTTGATCTAACGAGCATTACAATGCTTCGATTTTAAGATTTCGATGCTCTCTCTGGTTTTACTTCAATTGTGATGCTTCGATTTTGATTATGTGAAAACACTCGTTGTAATTCATTCTCTCTGATTTTAGTTCTTAATTTGTTTCGATTCTTGTTGAGTGAAAACCCTCGTTCTCCAACCTTATCACTGATTTTTCTAGTTTGTTTCATATTTGATTCTGTGAAGCTACAAAGGAATTTGTAAGTCTAAGAAAAAACGGAATTATTTCTTAATGCTCTTTCAAGCTTAGAAGCTGAATATGTGTTCTCTCTCGTTTCAAGTGTTCAAATTTTGGGTAATTGAGTGAAAAGATCTTGGTTTGGTGAAAGGTTGTCTCACGTTTGGGTATGATTTTTTCTTTTATCAAACTTATCTAACGGTTCAATATTTTCTTCTATGAAGCAACAGCTTTTGTTCAAAATATTTTCTTTTCTGAAGCAATAGATATGATAGAGCACGTAAAAAAATTGTCATTAAACATTTCTAAACCTCTACATCGTCTATCCACATTCCCCATTTCCTTCTCTTCTCATCTATCTTTGGATGAACATTGGATGGTTCCCTCATCCATAAAATAGAACCAATTATTTGAACTTTATGATGCTTGTAAAATCAAACTCAATTGGAATTTCGATTTAGAAAATCTCAATAGAACGAGAAGGGGTGTGGGGAAGTAACTAGGGTTAAAGAAATCTGGGTAATCTCAAAGTAAATTCAAACCGGAGGAGAGGGTGTGGGGAACTTACCTCGTGGGAGAGATGCAGGGGCGCCGAGATGGAAGACGTCGCCGGCCGGTGCTTTGATTGCAGAGAAGAGTGGAACCGGCGGAAGAGAGATAAAGACGGGAGAAGCAGAGACAGAGGGGCTCCGTTAATTTTAGGTGAAATAGATCTAAAAAAAATGATGGATAAATCTGATCCATTGATCTAAGAGGTTATTAAATCCAAAGGCAGAGATTAAAATTGTCTAATCCCATGACATTTAACCTAAATGTCAGTTGAACGGCGGCGATGCGTCTATGTGGAAAAAAGAGGTTGGGGCTATCCTAATCTTCTTTGATCACCTAAATTTCTTTCCATAAAACTGTACTGCAAAGTCTAGAAAGCATATGTACTGCAGTACTACATCTTTGGCTTGTACTTTGTACTACTACTACTACAGGGTAACCACCAATGCACTATCCACTTCACCAAAACATTTTGTTTCATTTTTAACAACCTGTAAAATTTATTATTTTAAAAATAATTTTATTATAAAATGTATAGAAACAAAAAAATAATATCTAAAAAAAGTATAAATTACCATTTTTTAAAACTAGACTAAAAGTTTTACAAAATTAGACATGACACTTTTTTTTGTTTTATTAAATAGTCAATGAAAATTTACGAACAAACAAACGTTGTTGAAAACCCAAAATAATAACTAGGATACGATTTTTGGAACGAAAGAATAAGTTCTAAATAATGATAAAATATTATAAAGTTAAAAGTAAATAATGTCTTTTTTTAAAAAAATAAGCACACTCCTTAATACACCCTCCGTCTCCATTTTTATTACAATTTTATTTTCTCTTTCCTCTCGATAATTTTTGTTTATTTGTATATTTTCATTGATTATTTATTAAAATAAAATATTTTTGTCACATCTTGTTTTATCGAATTTTTAACTTTTTTTTTTAAATATGCGGAGTAATTTTTTTGATTACCTTTTTTACAAACTCCATACATATAATTATTTTTTAATGTACCTCTACCATTTTCTTAATAAATACCCAACATTTCAACGCGGATTTACATAACACCGACCCTTCCTTCCCTCTTCAATTTTTCCTTCAATAAACAGCAAAAGAAGCTCTGCGCTTTCTTCTTCTTCTTCTCCGAATCAGATTTCTCACCATGTCTCAGGTACTCGTTTCTATTAAAAAACTTAGAAGATATATATTGCGATATGCGGATTACTTGATCTTGTTTTGCTTTCGAAAAGCTTAGTTTTGATAGTTTTGGAGTTCATAGTTTTCAGTTTTTTTTCGCGATCGTGCAGAATCCTTAATTAGGGTAATCTTTTTTGCCTAAAACTTTGCGTTGTTTCCATGATTCGGAATATCAGATGAAATATTGAATCGAAGTTGAGGAATTGGAGCTTCTTCATGTTTCGTTTTTGCTTATTTGTACCCCCTATTTCTTAATATTTGTTGTATTAGGGTTTTTTTAATGCGGAGTTAATTGGTTATTTGATTTCCATTTTGCTAATTCAGATGCTTAGATCATCTCAATAGGGTAAATGAATTCAAAGTTTGATCATTCAATTTCCACTTTTGTGGACCTCATGGAGTTTCTATGATCCCTTACTCCATATGAAACAACTTCGAACTTTTGGTAGATGATTTCCAGAAATGTAAGTAGAGAGGTACAATAACCCCAAGTTAGGTTTTTTTGACAGTGGACATTCATTGTTCTCACAAATGCTTCTCTTCCACGTGAAGCTAGGAAACGTGTTAATGTAAGACCATTTTTTATTGAAAAGAAACCTAAGAAATGGTAACAATAGGAGATCAGTAAAGAATCAGCTGTTTAAGCGGCAAATGTATTGGAGCCTAGAAAACATTCCCAGGTCCAGTACAATATGCCATTATACGGAGTATTTTTTATGCCATGTTTTGTAAGTGCAACGTTGATGTAGTCATGTTTAGAACTTTGATTTCCATTCCCAATCCATTTGGTGTCCTGTTTGGCATCAAGTTTTTAGCTGTTTGTCAGCTAGTAGCTCTTCCAAGAAGCTTGAAAAACAGTTGCTTCAAAAAGCTCTAAACAATTTTCCCAAAAAGCATGAAAAACGAACTTTATGTAAACCATTTTTTTTGGTTTCATATAGCTCTTCTAATAGCTATCAGATTCTGCCCTTTAGTCCAAAATGCTCTCTTTCACAATGAGTTCCTTGTCTTATACCCTCTACCCGACTGTGAATAAATCTTCGTTCTTGATTTATTTATTTAGTTTTTGCTTCTCGATGGCAGACTGTTGTTCTCAAGGTTGGCATGTCATGCTCAGGCTGTGTTGGGGCTGTCAAAAGGGTTTTGGGGAAAATGGAAGGTATGCAATCTTTTTTCATCAATACGATTATACGAGTACTACTTAGCACGCTCATTTTTTTAAGGAAAAAGATACTGCCATACTTGGTGGCATATGTAAAAACTGTTTCCCTATCTGTAAACGTGTGTGTTCTTGTTGTTATTCTTTGTGGCATATATCTATGCATCTCATATTGGTTGATATTTGTTATAAAAAAGAAAGAAAAAAATACTGTCTACAAGTGGTTGTACTACTAGGAATGTGACTTTCAATTCCATGTTCATTCTATATCGCCAGTTTATTGCAAATTCTGTGCTAGATGTTTTATGAACTCCACCTATGGTACTCCCTCCGGTTCAAGTAAGTGTTAGTTCTGCAAAATAGATTATGCCGATTAAGAGCTTGTTCTCTTCGTCCAATATCATTCGAACTTGTAGTTATATTTAAAGCTATTTTTGATTTGATCTTATTTCAATAAGAATAACTAATAAGAATAAGTTGAAAAGAAGCTCTAAATAATTAATAAGTGGAAAAATATATAGTACTTACCCTCACTAACATTCAAAGAAGGAAAAAAACAAAATAGTGGCATCGAATACTGTCTTTATTACGAAATGAGGCATATCGTGAAGCAGAGTATTTCTTCCAAAATGATACCTATTCTTTACTCTTGCCAGGGAAGTACTAGTTTTGGTTCATTTATCCCGTTTTTTTAACCTCTTAAACTCTACACCAATATGCTAATTTATCAGCATTGAAACTTATAGCCGGTTTGGGTGTAAGTGGAAAGTAACAATAGAAGAAATAATTCTATGTAAAATGTTTGCTGGAAAATTATTTTGATGAAAAGTGGAAATAAGGGGGTGTTTTTCTGTACGGGTGTTTATTGGCTTCTTGTTGATAATCCGTTTTTAACTTATTAGTTGCTTATAAGTCAAATATTCTTTTGTAGAAGTAGAATGACTTAAATGATAGATAAATCATTTGTAAATATTCATAAATGGTGAGTTACAATTTTGGAAATAATTTGGTCAAAATGGAAAAATGAAAAATTGGCATAAAAATAAGTAGCTAAGACCTACTTATTTTTCAAGCTTATAAGCAGCTTATAAGTTAGTTTATAAGCACACAGAAACACGTCACACAGAAACATGTCATCAGTTGACTTATAAGTTAAAAACTGCTTATAAGTAGTTTTGACCAGCTTATAAGCATAGAGAAACACCCATTAAATTTCATGTTTGGTTAGCTAAGATTTTCCATCGAATATCTTAAGTAAGTAGAAACTTGATCGTGCCTACTTATCTATCTAACCGAGGATGTCTGGAGATCTAGGATTAGAGTGGTTGGGTAGACATGTGAGTCTTAGTTTATATTTTTTGGCTTGTGTGTTTTTATGTTTTAGTCTATCGCTCATGTATGTGTGCTTTGAGTTTTTAATTTTTTAGAAATTGTTTTGGGTTTAATTGTTTGAGTCGGTATGTGTGTTTCTTCTCTCTCTACGCGTACATTGTTTGTGCTACTCTAGTTTGTTTTCATGTACATCAAATTTTAGCCGAGTGTCTCTGGGAAAAAGCCTCTTTACCCCTAGGTAGGGGTAAGGCTTGTATACACTCTACACCCACCAACACCGGACCCTATTTTTTGTGGGATTCTACTGGTTTTTTTCTCACCTCCACAAACTATCTTCAGGCGTAGAGTCCTTTGATATTGATCAAGAAGCGCAAAAAGTGACGGTGAAGGGTAATGTGACCCCAGAAAGTGTTCTGCAGACCGTTTCGAAAACTGGGAAGAAAACTTCATTTTGGGAAGAAGCAGAAGTATCAGCCAAACCTTCTGAAGCTGTTGTGGTTGGTGATGTTCCACCAACTGTTTCAGAAACTAAAAAAGAATCTTCGCTCGGGGAAGAGAAAGGGGCGGACGAATCTGGCGCGAAGCCCTCAGAAGGTATTGCCATTGCTTGATATGATCATTATGGCACCTGTAAACACTCTAAAACTTTGTTTATGACCTATAGTGTGAAATGAACTATGTAATAATTGATGTTGCTTAACCAAACATAAGAAATGTTGTGTCCATTTATCTTATGTACAACAAACAATGTATGTTGGGCTTATATGGACCTATGAATCATTTGATCACCTTGTGAATTTGCTGTTAATTAATATTCGGGTATTGATGGTTTATCCTGATGAGGTATCCCACCAACAGTATATAACACTCAATATTACACATATACTCCCTCCGTCCTAAAATGTTCTTTCCACTTACTTTTCACACGGTCAAACTTTAATCACTTTCGTTACCTATTTTCATTAGGTATTTGATAAAATAATACAGTCTTGTCACCACTTATTTTGTAGAACTTTTGATGTAGTTTTTAAATATATAAATTTTATTTTTTTAATTTTACACCAACAATCAAATAAATTTAATTGAAAATAAAGTCGGTCAAACATTGTAAACAGAACTGGGAAGAACATTATTATAGGACGGAGGGAGTAACACTTATTATTTTTTACATAGTTGACTATTTGTGGCATGTATGTCCTTCAATCATACCCTTTTATTATAATGTAGTATTTTAATTATTTCACTTACCATATTTATTAATATCTATAATTTTAGGAGATTATTCTCATTTCTTATACGTATCACTTAAAACCGTCATGCCATTTCTCGCTGCTTAAACAAAATTAATTAATGAAATTGGAAGTGTATATCAACTTTTTTGGCAGGGTGGAATGATTGTGTTATGTCTACACTTTTTGGCAGTGTGGTGTCCATATTTTGGATATTGTGTTATGATTCACAATACTTAATTATACTTTCTTGCAATGTGTAATGCTCATGTTCTAAAAGTGTATACCAATTTAAATACATGTTTGGCAGTGTGAAATGATTGTGCTTTGACAGTCTGAATACATACGGAGTATTATATTGGGCATGATGATATTATGTTATGTCCATGTTCTAGAAGTGTATATCAATTTAAACACATTTTTGATAGTGTGAAATTGAAGGACAAATTTAGAATTGCATCCATACGAGTTTCAATATTATATAGCAATGCTATATTGGGTATTTTTAGCATATATTAATGCTATGATGTTATTTCTCCCTAATGACAACAATTAGGATGCGGTATGTAATCCATCTAGTTATAACCCTTTTTCTGAGGTTTTTTATATAGTTGTCCCTTTTTATAAATTTATACAAAAATAATGGATTAGAATTACAACGGACGTATTAAATTCGATGCAGTAGTATATTATTTACTCCCTCTGTCCATGTTAGATCTTCCCATTACGCGTTACGAAGCTTGACCGACTTTATTTTCAATTCAATTTAATTGATTATAGGAGTAAAATTTTAAAATAAAATTTATATAGTAATAAACTACATGAAAAGTTCTACAAAACTAGAGGTGACAAGTAGGTAAAAATGACTAGTAAAAATGAGCAAACAAAGTAGGTAAAGTTTGACCTTGTGAATAGTGTCTGGGAAGATCTATGGTGGACAGAGGGAGTATTTATTTATTTCAAAATGTTTGAAACTTTAACAATTTAACTTTATTTAAGTCTACTCCACGGGAGGAATTACGGATAGTGTAATTGCCCTAATTGGTAAAGAGTTTTAATAAGTAGTAAATTTTTATGGGAAGAATGAAGTGTTTACCAAATAGGGAGTAATAAACTCCTTTCACTGCCAGCTTCACGTAGTTAGCTCAACTTTGACCTTCTAGATTGCCAAAATAATTAAACCAAAATTTTACCCCTTTTGATAGTCTTGACTTTTGAAAATGCTTATGCACAAAAAAAAATCCATTTTGAATGCCTATCAAAATTGGATGGTCACCTGAATTTATGCTATTATGCACAAAATTAAGGTTTTAGAGGTGGATGAAAACTAATAAAATCCAAAATAAAATGATAACATAAAATTAGAAAATAATAATCTGTATTTTCATGCAATTTGCATTTTAAAAGACTGACAATTTTTTTTACTCTTTATCAAATTCTAGAACCCCATTTTCGTGCTGTTTTTTAGAGTCTTTCACATTATTTTTTAGAATTAATTCTATAAATAGTCCTTAATTACATGTAATTTCTATATTTAGTCTCTAATTCTGAGATATTACATAAATGATCCTCATTTTTTGAAAATTATTGCATAAATAATCCTTTAAGCCAACTATGTCAAAATATGAAACAAGTTCTAAAAACTTAGGACCATTTATGTAATATTTTAGAATAGAGAACTAAATATAGAAAACCACATATATATATATATATGATTAGGAATCATTTATGGAATTTACCCTACTTTTTAGGATTGATTTTCAAATCCTGCATTTAATGGAACTAATTTGATAACTTTTTGAAAACATTGTTGGTGCTTGATTCTTGAATTCTGTGTTCACAATAATCACTTTTCTAGAATTCTAAGCAGGGCATAACCACCCTCTATAAAAACATCCCCACCCTTCAAATTTGCAAAATGTCCACTTCCCTTTGAATTTATCTGCTCTGAAATAAGTCTACCAGTGCATTTAATCTAATGTCAAGCACCACTGTACCCTTTCATATTCATTTTATTATACTTCCTCCGTCCCACAAAAAAGTTCCTATTTTGAATAGTATTTAGTCAAACATTTATATACTTTGATTACAAATTGTGAGAAAAGTATATTGAATTATAAAATAAATTTAATATAATTGGATTCATCTTAGGATCTAGTTTTGAAATCTCAAATTTTTTTAGCATTTCTTTATTTAGATTATTTTTAATTTATGGTCAAAGCGTGTGACTGTTTGACCAATTTATGGTCAAAATGGGAACTTTTTTGTGGGATGGAGGAAGTACAAAATCTGCTTAAAGTCCACCCAAAAGATCACAAATTCCAGAAACTACCCTTTACCCAGTACTGGTCTCTTCTATCTCCTTGATTTTGATCAATCAATCATTAAGTGGAAAGTTTTAAACCACCCAACTTCAAAACTAAAGGTATGCTTCCATTGTTTCCCATCCTATCTGCTTCTGCTCTTGCATTGTCATAAATGGGTGTCATGTCACATTTCGCATATTTGATAATAATGGACTAAATCAAAACGGGGTCTAACGAAAACAACCTTTCTTGTTTTTTGAATGGCCTGCAGGTGGGGAGACCCCAACAAAGTTGGAAATTTAGAATATATTGTACATGTCATGCTAACTGTAACGGTAGACATATGAACAATGGGTTTATGTAATGGGGTTTAGTGTATGATTTAGTGAACTTAAAAATCTTTTCTGGGTTGGAGCTAGTAGAGTTTCTTGTTCAAGAAAAAGGGTAATTTCTGTGATAGGTAGTAAGTAGAGCGAAGATGGCAGCAGAGAGTCTGGCTGCTGCTGATGACATGGCAATGAGCCGGAGGACAATGAGCAGAAGTAGAGTGTCTAGTATAAGATCAGTCAGTTCGAGGAGACTGGCGTCTGTGACTCTTAGGGAGATCTTTGCCTCACCAGGGGGAGATGTGTTTCAGAGAAGTGTTAGGGAGAATGATGATGAAGAAGAGCTCAAGTGGGCAGCCATTGACAGGCTTCCTACATATGACAGGTTGAGGAAGGGGATCTTGAGGCAGACTTTGGACAATGGGAAGGTTGTGAGCCATGGAATTGATGTCCACAATCTTGGGGTGGAAGACAAGAAGCGCCTCTTGGAAAGCATTTTGAGAGCTGTGGAAGATGACAACGAGAGGTTCCTTAGAAGACAAAGAGAACGGACTGATAGGTGAGGCCTAAACTAAACATCTGATCTCCATTACTCGTATCAATCGTGTTTGATTAATTTCAACCATCCCACATTGAAAGAGCCTTAGGTTATGAGACCTTGATTAGGGGCATGACCCTTCCCCAGACCCTAGTCTTGTGGGATTTCACTGGGTTTGTTGTTGTATAAGACCTTTGAAAAACTAGATAATCGTTTGAATTCGAAATTTGTTACTCTGTCGAGTGGATGCGTTCGATGAATAATTTTTGTTTTTGGGTGAATAGGGTAGGAATTGATATTCCGAAAATTGAAGTGCGATACGAAGGTCTATCCATTGAAGGAGATGCATATGTTGGATCCAGGGCATTGCCTACTTTGTTCAATGCTACTGTAAATGTGATAGAGGTACTCCATTCATTTCAAGAAGGAAAGAAGGAAATTCACTTTTAACTGCAGAACTTCTAACTGTGTTTTTTGAAGATCATGAGAAATTATCCTAATAATGTTCAATTTTGTGGGAATTTTCTGCTGGGTTTGCTTTTGTTGTTGTATGCTAATAATGTTCAATGATTTTGGCAGAGTTTTCTAGAAAAGATACGGGTTTTCCCATCAAAGAAAAGAGCAGTTCAGATACTCCGGGGCGTGAATGGAATCATAAAACCTTCAAGGTTTGTTCACAAAGAAGCACTCTGCTGATGGTTATTGTGATCATTTTTTTCCCCAAATGGTTAAAAACTTTGCACTTCCACTCTCTCTCTCTCTACAGGATGACACTACTTCTTGGGCCTCCCGGCTCAGGTAAGACTACATTCTTAAAGGCACTTGCAGGAGAACTGGACAAGGATCTTAGGGTATGATGACCCATAGTGCCCTCCCTTATCACATAGCTTCAAATCTTACTCTTGAACTGAGGGTCTTTCGGAAACAACCTCCCTGCCTTTTTAAGACAGGGGTAAAGGTTTGCGTACGCCACCCACACTTTTCTCCCATATTGGACCCTTACCGGGTTGTTGTTGTTGTTGTTGTCTTAGGTTGAGGGGAAGATCACATATTGCGGTCATGAGATGTCCGAATTCATTCCTCAAAGGACATGTGCTTATATAAGCCAACATGACCTCCACCACGGGGAGATGACAGTGAGAGAGACGCTTGACTTTGCTGGACGTGCTCTAGGAGTGGGAACCAGATATGAACTTCTCACGGAGCTGTCAAGGCGCGAAAGGGACTCAGGGATTAAACCTGACCCTGACATTGATGCATTCATGAAGGCCACTGCCATTGCAGGCCAAGAATCTAGTCTAGTCACAGACTATGTTCTTAAGGTATACTCTTCTCTTTCTTTGTTCGTGCGGTTTTACCGAATTCGTTGGGATTTTTTGTGGGTTTTTAGCATATTTGTTGTTGTTATCGTTTTAACTCTATGCGCG